CTAACATCCATGCCCATCTTCCCCTACTCTATATGTGGGACGCCTACCGCAGCATGGCTTTTGCCAAGCAGTGCCATATCCTCACCCGGGATCTGAACCAGCGAACCCTGGGTCATTACTCTTATTCAATATCATAATGGAAGTTCTATCTAGTGCAAGACGAGCAATAACAAACAAATAAAAGGTATGCAGATAGGAAAGGGATAAATAAAAATTGTATTTTTTGCAGAGGAAATTATTGTCTCTGTAGAAAACTTCAAAGAATCTACAAAGAAAAGCCCCTGGAACTAATAACCAAATATAATTGCTTTACTATATGCCAGCAATAAAGAATTGGAATTAGAAAGTTAGAAAAGCAAAAACATTTACAATCACACACAAAAATGAAACACTTAGATATAAATCTAACAAAATATATACCAGATCTATTTGTGGAAATCTACAAAACACTTATCGAGGAGGATCTAAATAAATGGAGAAATATTCCCTGTTCATGAATTGGTAGACTCACTAGTATTAAGATGTCAATTATTTCTAAATTGACCTACAGATTTAATATAATTCCAATCAAAATCCCAACAAGTTTTTTGTAGATATCAACAAAGTGATTCTAACATCTATATGGAGTGGCAAACATCATAGAATAGTCAACACAATACCGAAAAAGAGGAACAGATTACCTTATCTCAAGGCTTAATTTAAAGCTATAGTAATCAAGACAGCATAGTGTTGGTGACAGAACAGACAAACAGATCATTGGAACAGAGAATCAAGAGTACAGATACTATATCCTAGTTGGTAAAGTTGCTTCTCAGAAGGGTATGGGCTAATCATCTGAACTCAATATACCTACATACTGGTATTGAATAAATAAGTATATGGATGGTGGATAGTTTGAGCCAATTTTCTCACAGACGTAAGCAAAGAGGGAAGGCTAGAATGAATCATGAGATGCTAGCTTAGAGTTGGAGACACCAGTATGACTCATGTTTAGCTTAATATAGGTAGAGATGGACAAATAAAGAAATAATTATAGGTATATGTACATGCATGGGCTAGTATACAGATATTTTCCAAGCTCTATCTTCTGAGAGGGCTTAGAAGCAACAAGACTCTAGTAGCAATGGGACAATTTGGGCAGGAAAATAAATAACCTAATATTCGATTATTACCCAAGGTAAAAAATAAATATCCATGAGTCCATACTGCTATAAATAAATGACTAAATGAATAAATAAATGAGGGAGAATAGATAAATCTTATGTACAGACAATTCCAAATAATTTATGTATCTACTCCATCCTCAAGGGGGTCTAAGTATAACTCCTCACCCTTTAAATGTGGGCTGAGCATAGTCACTTCTTTACAAAGAGTACTGTATGGAAAGGAGGAGGACAGAGTAACTTTGCAGTGGAGAAACTTGACAAACACTACCTTAGGTAGGCGATATCATCAGTTGATGCCATGTTGATAGAATGTGCCATTGATATACTGTGATGAAAATGGCACTTTACTCCTGAGGTCTTCATCCCGAGAACCCAAAGTGCCAGTCTAATCATGAGAAAAACATCACACACATCCCAGTTGAGGTACATTCTACAAAATACCTAACCAATACTCCCTCAAACTGTCAGGGTCATCAAATATAAGGAAGGTCTCAGAAGCTGTCACAGTCTAGAGGAGCCTAGGAGAAATGATAACTAAATGCAATGTGGTATCAAGGATGGGATTCTGGACCAGAAAAAGGACATTAGGAAAAAAATGAGGGAAATCTGATTGAAGTATGGACTTTAGTTAATAGTAATGTATCGATATTGGTTCATTAGTTGTGACAAATGTATCATATTAATGGAAAATATCAACAATAGGGCAGAATGAGTGTTGGGTATAAGGGAACCCTCTGTAGTATCTTTGCAACTTTTCTGTAAATATAAAATTATAAGTTTATGTCAAATAAACTTGTAAAATAAATTTATAAGTTTTATTTTAAAATAAAGGATTTTAAGTAAATGTAAATACTGGACCTTGTGGTACACCTAACTAGTGTTCACCAATCTCCAATTCTCCCATTCAGCCACCCCTGCCTGGGGCACCCCCGGGCTGACAGCAGGGGCAGAACTCTGACCTGGCCCCTCTGTTTTAGAGGAGGAAATATCCTCAGTCCTCACTCAGGTTTCTAAACTTGACTCATAGACGGTCCTGGGACTCCTCCCTCTGATGAACTGAGCCGGCCAGCCTTAGACCAAGTCTACCTTCCTACCATCCGTATTGCCACCTCCCACCCCAGTCTCAAAAGGGTGGAGTGAAGGCGTGCCTGTGCTCAACAACCATGCACAGCTCTCCCAAGGCTGATACCAGGAGCAGGGCTCTGTGCATGGCAATCTGTTCTGGAGTGGGGATTTCTCCCAATTTCTCCCAGACTTTCCTCCTGCTCCTCACCTTTACTTCTGTTAGGGCTTGGGATCCTTCCCTCTCCTACCTGGGATTGACACTCTGGTCCAATGGCATCATCTTTTATTGCAGAGTAGTAAAATTTACTACAGATGATATGAAAATGTTGAGAATAGCTGATACTGAATTTAATTTTTTTTAGTTCTATCAAGCTGGAATTATTACAATAATAAAGATCTTTGGACACCACACATCACCATCAACTCTAGTCAACTTAACAAAGAACTGCACCATCTGCAATGATTCTCTCCACCCATTCTGTAAAACGTTTACACACCTGGGACCAGCCCTCTACTCCAGACAGTGTCTGACAACATAGACGACCAAACAGAGCGACAGGACATCTGTCCTATGGCTGCAAAGAACTGAGGAACCAAGAGAGGCAGTCTAAGGTGGGAATAGCATCTAGAACATTTTTTTAATGATCTAGCCCCAACTTCAGTGCTGGAAGGGCACTGTATACAGGAGAAGGAATAGCCTTTTCCATCAGGCATCAAGACAACTCTCAGCCTTGGCACACTGGCAAGGATGCACAGAATCATCAGAGTAATGAAGAAATGTAGGTTTCCCAGAATTCATTAACATTATCACTGGGTGATGCAGAGGAGCTAACTATACTCTGCCTGACAGTGGGCAGGGTGGATTCTAAGGTGTGGGGGGGTATCAGGCATGCCTCTTGTCCTTTCATCCAATAGATTTGCCCACTCAGATTGCTCTGAAACTTCAGGCTGGTAAACATAAAATTCATAGATTCTCCAAGCCTTTTCATGGAAGTTGTCCAAGACCCTCCAAGATTCCATATGTTCTCTCCCTCTGGTCCCTTTTCCACTATACGCTGTGCTCTGGATTCAGGACCATAACTGCCAGCCTACCCTGGACTATCAGGACTTGGTTTAGTATGCAGTCTCTCTCATGGATTCTGGAAATTTCTTTACCCCCCCCCGCCAGGCTTCATGATGCTCCTCACTTGCTGAGGGTATCCTATCTAGACTATTCCCTGAGACCTAATCATTCTGACCAAATCCTTGCTTCTTAAAGTAAATGGAAAATATAGCATTGACATAGAATTTTAAAACACATACCCAGAGATATCCCATTACTCAAGACATCCTGCAAAACTCCTACTTTATATGGATGAGGAATTAATTTTTTAATAACATAATTATAACACATGGAAAAACAAAAAAATAGAATATGTTTTCACATGAAAGATTGATCAACATTTAAAATTGATCAAATTAAATGCCTGTGAGAGTTTAAGATATTCACATACATTAATATGTGAGAATATAAATTAGTACAGCATTATTGTAACAGAATACTAGCAATATTCATAAAAATTTACAGTCATCACACTATTTCCACTTTAACCCAATGTTCACTTCTTTGTCTTTCCTATAAGAAAACACCCACATTAGCCCAATAATTTATATTTAATGATGTTGATATCAGTTCTATCAGTTATAGAAACAAATATAAAACAACTTATATGTCCATCAGGAGAAGAGTTAAATTAATTTTGGCACATACACACTTTAGAATTCTT